ATTTTTAATTACTAAATTCGGTATAGTAAGGGTTTTTTTATATTTAAAAATCTGTTTGACACTGAAAATCCGTTGTAAAATTCGTTATATCAAAATTCGTTGTAGAAAGAGTTGACTGTAATGTTTATTTATCTATATACATATTCGAAAGGTAAGAAGGTATTTTTTTTTAGAAACATAAAGTTTTTAGGAGAAATTCATATGAAATAATCATTATGACAGGTGGAAAATCATTGGTATCATTATTATTAGAAACATTATTAAAGGGTAAACAGTTTGAACCTTTGATTTCAGAGAATACCAAATGCTAATAAAATCATGCTTCTATAAAACTTAATAACAAGTTTTTTTATGTTTTCTTAGTTTTTAGTGTAAGAATTAGATAAGTTTTTTTCTAACGAATGGACTACTGATAAAACAATTTAGTTTCAATGCTAACTTTAGAAAAATTTCCAATAAAGTCTAGTTGTTTATTCTCAAATTTTCACTAATAATCTTCGGTCAGTCTTGAATTAAACATTTTATGATACAAGAGTAACATAAGCTTTAATAATAGATAATAACAACCTAATGCCTATATTTTTAATACCTTATATCTAGATTAACTAGGTATGACTTCACAATTTTTTACATCTTAAACTTTAGTAATGTGACTTATAACTTCTAAGGATTTTCAAAGATCTTTCTGGACAGCATCACAAGAGTTATGTAAGTAATTATATTTTTTGAAAAAAGAGATGATGTTAAGTTCTAATAAGTTTTCTTGCAAGAACTGCATTCTTTTCCATCTTTTTAGAGTTTGATATTTTTAGAAAAGTTCAAGATATATTTGTATAGTGCTAAAAATTTATACTTGATAATCACGTAATTTGTTTCAATTTTCTGACAGCGATCATATATCACATGATATTAAATAGACTAATAAAAACTAAGGATATTTATATAACAAAAAACTATATAAATGCAAAAAAAATTTAAACACGTAGTTTGATGCATTATATATTCTAAGGTCTTATTTGAACTAACTTCTAATAATAAATGCGAAATGAAGCAATGTATAAGCTATGGATTTAATATTTGAATTAAATAATTTACAATTTATAATGATAAAGAAATTTTCTTGCAAGATTATATAACTATTATGTATATTAATCCATTAATCTTTCAATATTTTTAGATAATTGATGGTATGATTTATACTATAGATGAAGGATGAAATCCTTAATAATAGTCAAAACTTAAACGAAACTATATTAAAATCATAATAAGGGATACGATGAAACCCATTCAATACGATGAAAGCTAAAACTGTTAAAACTATATTAAAAATATAGAAAGGGTATGATAAAATTATTTTGAGGAGGTTTTGGCAGACATCTATAATTTATACTTATTAACAACCCACTCAGCAGTTTTACCTTTTAACCCTTTATTATATATATCCATATACCTTCATGACTTACGTGCAAGCTTATGAATAGTTATTATATAATGCATAACATTTATACTCATCAAAGGAGTCTAAAATTTTTTTGCAGATCTTTATGTAACTTGATCAAGTGAATTGATTTTTATTGGTCTAAAATAATGATTAGACATTTTAAAAAAAAATTTATTTATTTAATTCTTCTAAATCTTCTAAAATACTATCTGAAATTCTTCTATGTGATTTGTATTTCTTAACAGCATATTCTGCCAATTTTCCACTAATACCTTTTTTATAAGCATCTATATAATGCTAACATTTTCTTGCAAATTTTCTAATTGTAATTAAAAGTACTAAGTCAAGGGATTTTGATACAACTTTTTGTAATCCATTTCATGAATAATTGCAATTTTCTTGTGCATATCTTTTATAAGCTCCTCAATATCTTTCAATAAAATTTAATTCACAATGAAATTTAGGGTAAAAAATACACATATGATCAGCCTTTTCAATTAATTTTTCAATTGCTCCTTTTTGTGCAAGAAAATCAGGTTCTAAAGATATTACTTGACGAGCACAACAAGAAATTCTTGAAGGATTATGAACTTTTTCTTTACAATTTTTACATTCTAATATTAATCCTTCAGATGGCCATTTTTCTCGTTCTATTAATACTTGTTTAATTCCTTTTGGTTTACCTTGAAGTTTTTTATTATGATGTGTAGCTGAAAATACCATTGATTGCAGCTGTTGATTTGGTCTAAAATAAGTATCATGCATAATTGGTTGCTTGTCACTGGGATTTAAATTTATTCAACTTGCAACTAAAGCATCTTTTCCAAAAGCAGCATGATTAGAACTATTATCGAAGGCAAATACCGCTACACAATTTGGATACAATGTCTCAAAAATAGGAATAGTTTTATGTTTGATTTGTTCAAGAAGATGATCAGCTGTTCAGTAATTTTCTTGATTTTTACCAGGTTTCAAATAGCATTGTGCTTCTTCAGGTATATTTGGATTTTGTAATATATCTGCTTGTTGTAAACATAAACGTCCATTAATTTCAGTAAGAAACTCACTGATCATTATAGATCTTTCATTCCCTTTTTTTCGTAGTGATAGTTCTCTATTTTTGACCTAAATTTCACGTTTACCATCATTAGAATAAAAAATACACTCATCATGAGTTACAAGAATTCTTTCCTTTTTTTTTCAGGTAAGTTGGGATATATACGATGCATTGTTTCACCTTCATACTTGGATATATATTTCTCATATTCAAACATTTTTTCTAAAAATACTTTGCGATATTGTAAAACATCATCTCATTTGTGTCCGTCATAACATACCTTGATAATATTGTTGAAATAAATAACTAAGAATATTAAGCCATCTTGTTGCAGTCATTAAAGAAATATTTTTTTTTTGTAATTTTGATATCAGGCAATAGTTTCTGTTTAACAAATTCTTTAAACATAGTCAGCGTGGCCTTGAAATTTTGCTCATGAACCCAAATTCGACATTTTTCAGCTATATCTTCATCATCAATTAATCTAATAGTTTTTTGATGCTTTCCATGTTTAAATACTGAGAGTTTATTATTATGTAACCAGTAAGTTGCATTATATCAGATATGTCACGCTTTCTATAGACCACCATCAACAAAAATGATTTTAGTTGCCTCTAAACTAGCATGCATTTTTCCATTATTTTTAGCGGGTAAGATATTTATAGATAGCTCTTTTTTTATTATATTCAGTAACGGTCATTTATCATGTTGTTTTTCTAATTATTCTTTTAGATTTCGTATTCTTTTATCAATTTGGTAAGTATCTTTATTGCTGATTTCATTTTCTGAATTACTCAAAATTCCATTAGATTATATAATTGTAGCTTGATTACTAACTTTAAAAAAACTTGTAATTTTTTTAGTATTAATGGCTGCCTTAGTAAATGAATCAATTAGTCCATATTTTTCATAATAACTTGATCTTGAAGTCTTTCCTGTCATATATCGACCACGTTTTATTTTTCTAATTCACTTTCTTCCTTCCACTCTAATTTAAGTTCTTTGTTTTTTAGGTTTTGTATTTCTTCAGTAACATCATCTCCATCGTCATCATCCTAATCACTATCTTCGTCATCAACCCATTCTTCTTCACCAAATTTTTTCTTATCAAAGAATTCCAAATTTATACTAATATCACTTTATCTGCGGTCTTACCATCACTAGAAGTATCAAACAAACAACTATTACTATAAGGACTAGACGAACCACTATCACCAGAAGCACTAAACGAACAACTATTACCATAAGGATTAGACAAACCACCATCACCAGAAGCACCAAACGAACAACTATCACTATAAGGATCAGATGAACCACTATAACCAGAAGCACCAAACGAACCACCATCACCAGAAGCACTAAATGAACCACCATCACCACAAGGACTAGATGAATCACCATAACCAGAAGTACCAAATGAACCACCATCACTAAAAGCACCAAATGAACCACCATCACTATAAGGACCAGATGAACCACCATCACCAGAGGCACTAAACGAACTACTGTCATTAAAAGGATCAAACGAACCACTATTATTATGAGACGCAGTAATCGCAGTAATTGTGCCATAATGACCAACATTTTTTTTACAATTGTTGTTAATTAAAATTGAGAATTCGGATTGATTTTAGTTATCTGTACTTGGATATCATGCTTTTTTAGTATCAAATTTACCATCTACAGTGTGTTTTTGGTTTTTTGATTTTCTTTTTTGCTTAGAAAGAGGTGGCATTTTTAATACAATAAAAAATAAATTGAAACGGGTTCAAAATAATGGTTTAATGCAAAGTGCGTAATTAGTTTTATTAATTTAACGATTTAAGACGTGATTACTATCACATTTTTAAGTACAGTATGAAATACGAATAAAATTTGCGATCATGCATTTTGACTGTTTTTATTATATAATATTGACAAAAATTCTATGGATTTAGGAAGAGAATTTCTGAAGTCGTCTATTTTATAGAAGGTATTTATGAATTTCTTTATCACCAATATTTATCATAGTTTATTGATTAAATATATTATACTAACATTGATTGATCGTAAAAAGTATAATTTAGTTATACTTACTTATGATTAAATATATCACACTAACATTCATTGATCATAAAAAAGTATAATTTAACTAACAGAAAGTATACGAATATGAATTTTTTAGACTTGCTAAAATTATGTAACGCAGCAATGAAAAGAAATTATTACGTAATATATAATCACGTGATAATTTCACGTATTTTTATTTGCCAGATTGCAAATATACCCTGTAAATACCCATGTAAAGTCAGTCCGAAATCAGCTAATTATTAATAATATACTCAACTTTTAAACCTCGATAACTTTTTAAATAATTATTCAATTCAAAATGTAAACTGATTTTTTGAAAGATTATAACCTAAACTATAAAAATATCAGTTTATTTTTTCAATAATATTAAAATTAAAAAATTAGATACAATTTGAATTTAGATTAAATTTTTGATGAGTATAGATGTTATGCACCATATCTTGTCAATTTTTTAGCAAAAAAGAAAATAATTTTAATGAAATAGAAACTAACTCAATAAGTCTTTTTAGATTTATACCTTATTTCTTATTTCAAATTTAAAATTTATAATGAGATGTTTAAATAATTTAGCAGGAATGTATATTTTGTATAATAAATAAACACACTTGAAAATTATTTTAATTTTATATTTTGTCTAATTTATTTTTTTTTTAATTTTGAAATAGTACTTTTATAAATAAAATTTTTAAAAAATATTAACTAATTAAATGCTAAAATATGATTTATTTAGATTATTATTAATAAAAATTATTTAATTATTATCAATCATATTATTAATCATCTTATTTAGCTAATTTAATAAAAATTATTTAATTAATATATCAATACATCAAATAGATGTAAATATTAAAAATTTAACTAATTTAATAAATATTTATTGATTATTAATCAGATGTAAAAACTAAAAATTTAACTTATTTTAGTAAAGATATTTAATTGATTGATATTTACATAAATTAATTATATCAATCAGATGTAAAAACTTGTATTTATTTAAATCATACATGTTAATCATATTAATCAATCTTAGTAATATTATACAAACAATCCAAAGTAAGATTTGCTTATATAACATTAAATCAATCTGTTAAATTTAAACCAAATTTATTTGTTTAGACATTTAATTAATTAATTTATATATTTCTTATTTTTACAGACTATTGCGATATCAGTAAAAGCGTTTAGATTACTAATTATTTTTTTTTAGAATTTCAGACTACTGCGATATTAGTTTGATAAGAATATTTAGAGATTACTAATTTTTTTTAGAATTGGATGTTAGTAATTCTCAAAAAAAGCTTACTATTCTAAGAAGGAATTCAACTTACCATTTGATTTCTAAGATTCAAAGAAAACCAATCTTAAAAAAAGGGAAGAAAAAAAATATTAGTAATATTTTAAAAAAGCCCATCTAATCCAAGAAAAAGGAAATTTACTCACCGGTAAATTCCCAAGATTTAAAGAAACCAGTTTTAAAAAAAAAAAAGAAAAAGAACATTAGTAATGTTCTCAAAGAAGCTCAACCAATCCAAAAAGAAGAAAATCCACTCACTAATAATTCTTAAAATCCAAAGAAAGGCCAGTCCTAAAAAAGAGAAGGGAAAAAGAATATTAATAACGTTCTCAATGAAGCTTACCTAACTCAAGAAGAAGGGAATTCACTTACCAGTAATTTCCAAGATCTAAAGAAAGACTAGTTCTAGAAAAGTGAAAGAAAAAAGAATGTTAGTAATATTCTTAAAAAAAGCTCACTCAATCCAAGAAGAAAGAAATTCACTTATCAGTATATTCTCAAAATTCAAAAAAGGCTAATCCTAAAAAGAAAAAAGAAAAAGAACGTTAGTAATGTTCTCAAAGAAGCTCACCTAATTCAAGAAGAAGGGAATTGACTCACTGGTAAATTTTTAAGATCTAAAGAAGGCCATTCCTAAAAAAAAGAACATTAGTAACGTTCTCAAAGAAGCCTACTCAACCTAAGAAGAAGGATATTCACTCACTAATAAATTCTCAAGATCTAAAGAAGGCCAGTTCTAAAAAGAAAAGGAAAAAAATATTAGCAACGTTTTCAAAGAAGCCCATTCAATCCAAGAAGAAAATCGCTTACTGGTAATTTCTAAGATTTAAAAAAAGACTAATCCTAAAAAAGAGAAGCAAAAAAGAACGTTAGTAATGTTCTTAAAGAAGTCCATCCAACCTAAGAAGAAGAGAATTCACTTACCAGTAAATTCTTAAGATCTAAAGAAGGCCAGTTATAGATGAAGGACGAAATTCCTTAATAACAGTCAAAACTTAAATGAAACTATATTAAAATCATAATAAGGAATATGACGAAATCCATTCAATACGACGAAAGCAGAAACTGTAAAACTATATTAAAAACATAGAAAAGGGTATGACAAAATTATTTTAAAAAGGTTTTGACAGGCATCTATAAGGCCAGTCCTAAAAAAGAGAAGAAAAAAAGAATGTTAATAACCTTCTCAAAGAAGCCTACCCAATCCAAGAAAAAGGGAATTCACTTACCAGTAAATTCTTAAGATCCAAAGAAAAATCAATCCTAAAAAAGAGAAGGAAAAAGAATATTAGTAACATTCTCAAAAAAGCCAAGAAGGAATTAATTCACTTACCAGATAATTCTCAAGATCCAAATAAGGCCAGTTCTATAGATATATTTGAAATTTAAGAAATTTTTGGCTGAAATTATATTAATTCTGCCGAAATTATGATCACGATTTCCCTACTATAAAATCAAAAATTTTAACTCGAGTTGACTCGAGTTACACGAGTCCAGACTCTAAGTTGCACAAAATTTTTTTAATATGAAAAATGATCTGTATAAATCCTATTTAATAAAACGCGTTTACATTTTTCGCGTCATATATTTTTGACTTATACACGTTAAAGCAGATTAACGAGGCTAAATTTTATTTCGAATCGAGCACAACCAAACACTATCGAGTAAGTTTGCAAAATCAGCAAAAAAAAAAGCACTCCCAGCTTCTAACCTGCCTTTCGACTTTTCATGTTTGAAGCAGCGGAAAAATTGATATTGTGGGGTCCTAATCCTCCACCGAGATGTAATTATCGTTTCGTAAACTCCTTAAGATATATGGAACATACTTTACAGAAAATGGGCCTGTCATTTTTGAAGAATTATTGGATCTAATACTTTGTTGACTTGAAGTAGAAGGTGAATTTTTATTTTGCAAAGATAGGGTAACTCTCTATTTCCTGCGGCTTAATAGAGAGAATTACTGGGTTCGGATACTGGTAACCACTCCAGGTGTTCTTAATTCAGGCGCCCTAACTTTGTTGTTAATAAGTTCTACTGATTTTAAAGAAGAATCGGTTATGATTATCTCTTATTACTGAATAAAAGTCGCACCATTAACGTCATTGTTCTCATAAAAGGTTAAATCAGAACGTGATGGCAAGAGGAACGTGGAAGCGTGAGTAAATAAATAAATTATGAAACATTTGTGTATGGTTATAATTCACTCAGCTAATCTGCTTATTGCTTAGAATCTGGTGAAACGAAAACGAGATGTAAATGAGGATGTAGAGAAAGAAAATTATAATCCAAACAAAC